ATCTTCTCAAATTTGGTGTGTGATTCTTAAAATGTTCATACACTTATTTTTTACTTTGTTCCCCTGATATAATTTCTTCTATATAATTTATAATACAATCTTTATTTTTCTACTATGTTATATTTAGTTTCTTTTAATCCTCTATTTTGTTTATTCGTATTGTGATTTTTTATACATTTTTATAAACAAATAAATTTTGAGTATTTATATCCACTTCTTTTCTTTTAAGTAAAAGATATGATCCATTTTTATTTTCATCAAATTTTACATCTCCAGTCTTTTTTATTTTATTATGTTCAAATAGATATTTTCTATATGCTTTTCTGCAGTTCGAATAACCTATCCGTTTTACTGTCATATAATTTCTGTTTTATTTCTTAATATGAACATAATGTCACTACCAAATCTTTTGAAATATTTTATATTTGGTTTTCTTCCTTTATGTATTTCGTATGTTTTGACATTTCTATAAACAGAACACCTATTTTTCTTTTTGTAATATATGCTGGTGCTTTAATGCTTTTCCTCCAAAAATGTATCAGTAATTCAACATCTATCAACATAGTTCTTGTCATTTTCACAATTGTTCTATTCATTCTTTCTACTTTTCCATTAATTCTGGAGTATGAGCTGTAATGTATTCATGTTTTATACGTTTTTCTTTAAACCATTTTTCTAATTCATCAGCTACATATTCCACTCCATTATCACTGGGAATTGTTTTTAATTCTTTATCCATTTGTCTTCCCTCGCTTATTATAAGAGGTTTCAAAACTTAAATTGTGTCATTTTTCTTTCTAATTGGAGTTGTTCAGGCGGCGAAGATATCGAAGAAAAGTTGGCAGAGTATTTTAATAGAAGCTGCAACGAAACATCACCTCTTCTATCAGTAGTTTTTTGTCAGACAAGTTCTGGAAGTGAGACGACACACAATTGACACATTGTTACTTGGAGAAAGAAATTGTCACGGTTACCTCTGTCCAAACGAAATTAAACCTTTCCTTACGAATTTCGTGGTTTTTACTTCATGTTTCAACTGCATCCAGTGCCTGGCACACCCTGGATTGAACCTTGAAGGCGTTCAAAACGTTTTTACTCAGCTTTCCGCATTAGCTTGTGATGACAATGCGAATTGACGTCTGAGGTGATTTCCTAGTAATTTCGACAATGGCAATTTTACGCGGGGGTGCCCAGGAACTGGTGCGATCATTTGGTGACGCTCCGAACTAACATGAAACAGTTGACAATCGACGTCAAGAAGCTTTGTACGAAAGAAATGAGTATTTGATTAACAGAAAAGAAATTCGCGCGGCGTTTTTGGAAAAATTAAGATCTCTGAAGCGCCAAGTTTGAAATGTATAATCCTTTCCTCTGAAACGCCTTCAAATAACATCTAAATGCCCTATTAAAAAACAAGGCGCCAAATTTGAAGTAATTTGGCGGTCAATGTGCCAACAGGAAAAATTAGTATTCTTCCACTAAAAATCATCAATTACCGTTAAAACATTTACTACCATCCGAAGCTTCATCCAACGGTCCTATGATATGTGTGTCATAATTCTAATATATTGGATGACATATCTTCTCTTACACTCGTATCACTTCTTCTTGTCAATTTACTTAGTATTATACAAGATTCGCACTCCTCATATTTCGTAAACCAATTAAAGCACTTTCTGCATTCTTCTTGGCATTTTATAGTTAATGTGACCCATTCTTTTATGCCACAAATTATTTCCATTCAACTTTTTTACGTATTCTATTATAACCTGGGTTTCTGCTTCCTATTTGTATCCATTCCTTTTTGCAATTAATATTTTTCTGTAAAAATTCATTGATCATAAAACTTTATTTCTTGTAAAAATTACGTTACAATTATTGTTAGTTACTTTAGATACTGAAATTAAATTGCACTGTACATCTGGGATGTGACGAAAATTTTTCAAAATTAACCTGCTGACCGTCTCGCTCCACTCTCCGAAACCGACAGCCGCTGCTGGGCCACCGACTCCTCGCTCCGTCCAGTGTCCCTCTTCGCACTGTCCCTACCTGTCTCCCCGTCGCTCGTCCCCACTACGCCCGCCCGCCCGCCTTGCCTCCCCGCCGTCGTACGGTACACGCACAGCGGGGTGACTAGGCCGTGACGTCTCAATATATATTAAATGAGGTGGAGACCAAACCTCATTTGATGATGCACACGACCGAGAAAAGTGCGGAGTCAGCGCACATTTCCACATTTAAAATTAGCGCGCAATGCGAGAAGCAATAGATTGTTGCGAAGGAAGTCGACCGTGCGAGTAACGCGCCAGCCAACTAGCAAACTTGAGAAAAGAAACACCTGTGAATGTCGTGGGCAGGGTAACAAGCTCACTGGAGCTCTCGGGCACTGTGTCCAGAGGAATTGGCGGGTGATTTAAAAGGAAGGGTTGTACACATTTCTCCGGAGTGGCGGCACGTCACTGAATTATACCTGGCCCATGACAGTCTTTAGAAGAAAATACGTGACAGATATTGTCACCAATTTAGCTACATTACTGCCCATTCCTCTTTAAGGCAAAGAAATGGTGTATTAAAATAAAATAATACATCAGTTCGATATCAAATTCTCAATTATGAGGAAAATGTAGGAAAAAATGAAAAGAATCTTGATTTTGTAATCCGATTTAATTTGGCGTGATATAAAGGAATGGACTTTCTACGTTCAGGTAAGAAGGTTTAACAGTCAATTCATGTCAGTCCAGAGCGCTGTCCGACCAAAAGCAAGAATTGTTAACTTATGTAGACTTGTTCGTTTATTTCACATTATTGCTAAATACAATAAATAAGTGAATGATTTAATAACACAACACAAAACGAAATGAAAGAAAGAATTCGCCATTTATCATTCACGTAGCAGAGATGTTTATATAAGTGAGAATTTAGTAAGAAAATAAACATGAAATAGTAATAAGCAGTGAAGAATAAAATGTTTGTTTTTATACTTGGCGCGTCAGCCCGTGAACAGGCTCAGGCCTACCGGCGACATCTCTTCCTCGGCCATGGGTTAAGGGGGTACGTGTGGTTAGCACGAAGACATCCACACGCCTTATCCGGTCTTCTCAACCTGAGAAGTGAATTTTCTCATAGTCACACAGCAACCTACACTGGGACATAGCAAAAAAAACGCACATTATAATCTGCCCGGGAATCGAACCCGGGGCCGCGTAGTAAATAGCGAGCACGCTGTCCAAGAGCTAGCTACCAGGCGCAAAATATAAACATAATATAATTGTAGGTTATCTGCTAGACAAATTTGGCAAACATTTTCGTACGAAGCCACCATTCCCCGACTCGCGCCGCTTCAGCTTGCACATGTGGATTTTAAGGGCACATTAGTGCGGAGTCAGGGCAATTTGCTTGGCCCTGTAGGAGCGCCGGCTTCCCCAAGCGATCAAGTAGCTCTTGTGGGCACGGTAGGACGTAGCGGAATTAGAGCAACATTTAGACGCGGATCTGCGTTAAGCGCTGACGACCCGCTGTTTGAATTTTCTTGTTTGTAACAAGAAGAGCGAGCTGAGTGTCTCCAAAGATCTTCAGTACACAAAACATTTTCGTTACCAGTAAATAGCTCTTGTGATTACTAAAACTTGAAATGAATAAAACCATTACTTTTAATTATGACTAGAAAAATAATCTGATAAATTTCAAGGAAACATCTTTCATAGTTTAAACAGGTATTACGTCAAAATAGAAGAAATACAGTTTGGCCGAAAGTTTAATTTTTCAAATTTCTTGTAAACAAAAAAATCTTTAAAAAATGTTCACGGGACTAATGAACGCATTTCCATAAATATCAGATGTCTGTTCTGAATTTAACTCTAATTATTGAACGCATACGTCTCTTAAAATTAACTTGTGGTGTTACAACAACATAGTCTCTCACATTATTTCTAAATTTGCAATTTTCCAAAATTCAGAGAGTTCAACGAAAAATACCCGCGCTATTTTTAAGGGTTCCTTCTGCCTGTGGAAAGAAAGTGAAATAACTAACTTTGAGCTGTTTTTGAGATTTTTTTTTACAAAATGCATGAATTTAAGGCAAAAATCTCACGAAATCTACACGGTTTTCAAAACATGACCGTTTCTTAAAGTTGGTTTTTTAACAGCTCTTTCAGGCAAAAATCTGTATCTTCATTTTTAGTTTAAAACCTTAACTTTTTGCAAATTTCAAAAATAGTTTTTGAGAAACTTTTAAAAAATTAAAAATTTAATATGTCTTTAAAGAACAGATTTCATTAAGGAAAACATCTCGGTCTTCTATATTGTACTTGTAGCAAGACACTCGAAAAACTTTCAATTTGGCATTGTCCAAAAATCAGGGATTTCAACGAACTCGATACCTGCTCCATGCTCTTAAGCGTCCTTAACGCTATCTGAGAACAAATTTTAATAAAATATTCGGAGCCATGTTCGTAAAAGTGTGATTTTTTTAGACTTTAATTTTCTCGTATGGAACAACGGACGATAAAAATATGCTGCTAGTTCTCTCTTCGACAAACTTTCCGTATTTTTAAAAATTGCAAAAATTGCGGGTGTGATTAATTGGGTTGAGACTTTTACATTTTTAAGCGCCAGCCCGAGTTCAAACATCTCGGCCCTCCTGTAGCGTAATACTATGGTCTTGGTACAAAAAATTCTCTTTGCTTGTTAAAAACACTTTTGCATGTTTATGTAGAAGTTCTTTCGCGCGGAGCAGTGAGAAGTAATGCGAGAAAGTATCTACTGTTATAGATCCCTTAGTTTTTATGGCGAGACAGCTTATCGAAAGCAAGGAAGCTATGTGTTTGAGACGGTAGTCAGTAAAGCCATCTCCCTCCCTGACAGTCAGCAGTGTGCGTAGGATCCGCGGGATCTAGACAAAGATCGGGGCGTTGCTCAGTCAAGTGGTTAATTTTTTCTGTTTCTAATATCACAAAAATATTCTAGATTTCTTCACTAAACTATGTTTTTTTATTGCACAGGTGAAAATGGCAGTTTCAAGTACTTCCAGTGAGCACAAAAAGGCTCGCTTGGATCTCTTGGAGGCCGCAGACGTTAATACAAACAAAGAGCGCGGGAGGACTCCTCTCCACAGAGCTGCTTTCGATGGACACGCGGAGAGCTTGCGAGAGCTGTTGGCGAAAGGCGCAGACGTTAAGGCAAATGACAAGAAAGGGTGGAATCCTCTCCACATCGCTGCCGAAGCGGGACATCCGGAGTGCGTTCGAGAGCTGTTGGCTAAAGGCGCAGACGTTAATGCAAAGCACGAGGACGGGTTGACTCCTCTCCACAGAGCTGCCTTAAAACGACATGCAGAGTGCGTGCGAGAG